TGACGGAAACGTGTGCAATCTATGAATGTACTGAAAGATTAAATGAGGTATTAAACACCTTTCACTTTAAAAAGGGGCGGAGACCCGGAGGAAACTCTGAGCTTCCCGAACAAAACCTGCTCCCCAGCAGGTTAGGTTCACAGAGTAAGTTGCCATAGTAACTGACTCTGAGTTTAGATTACCTCTCTTTTTGAAACGGGTTTAACTTACCCCGCTTCACGGGTTTAAGTTACCTCCGTTTCTGAAACCGAAAACTCTGAGTTGCCCTCATTTCGGGGTTAACAAACTGAGTTTCGACAAAACCGCCTTCTTGAAATAGGCCCCAGGTCTGCACCACCCGCTGGGGACCACTGCTTCAGGGTTTTTATTTGCCATTCCAGAAGTGAAGCTGAGACATCTGTGTGTACGCAGCAACTCGTCTGTCGAATGTTTTGGTACCTTGAAGACACGCGGCACCACGGAGTAATGCCTCCCAGACCACATCTGTTTGATGACGTCGGCGTAGGCCTCGGCGATCTCCCCCTTCATCCCCAGAGGGTTGGTGAAGTTCAGCTCCTCTAGGTAGGAGCTCTGTAGGAAGTACTCCGTCAGGGGGGGCGTGTTACTCAGACACTGCAGAGAAAGGGGAGGTGTGAACAGTGCAGACTCTGCACAATGAGTCTGGTCTGTTTCTGGAACCAACCATATCAGTCCCACAGCAGAAAAACACACACAAGAACCAACAGTGCTCTCCAGGGTTCAACTTTAGACTCTGCTGTACGTGTGCGTGTGTGCGTGTGTGTGTGCGTGTGTTCGTTCAGACCTGCAGAGCAGAGTTCATGAAGCAGGTGTTGCCCAGGTTGGTGAGGCCGCAGACTCCCGGCTGTCCTCGATACGAGTCCTGCTCCTCCACAGAGTTCCTCCTGGAAAACCAGAACACATGTCAGCAGCTGATTCAGGCCAGGACTGACAGTGCACTCACACAGGAGCCGGGAGGAGGAAGTGATGGCCGGGCAGCAGCATTATGGTACGAAAAATCATTGTGATGAAGACAAACTGAAGTAAACTGACGGTGACAGCTAAAACAATGCTGCTGTGTAGCATTTACATACTGTACACAGACACACACTCCTCTGTAAAATATCATTCTGTCCCTATCGCAAGTCTTAACAAGTAGTTCATTTAAATCTTTTTTTTTTTTTTTTTTTTTTTTTTTTTTAAAACATGTCATTGGGACTGGATTTGTGCCCCTGGTGGAGACACTGTGCTAACCACTCAGTGTGCTAACCAAGTCATCTGGAAAGAGGCCTGTTTAGGGACCTGTAAAATGTTACAGTGATCAGAAGAGCAAGGCTCCATAGAAGTTCATCAAACAGGCTTTTATAATGTCGGCTAAAACACAAACAGGTTCTGTTTGACTTGGGACTCTGAGAACAGGCACCATTTTGTCTCAAATTCATCTGTGTCTTTGCCCCCCCACCCCAGCCCAGCCCACAGGGGAGACTGTTGTCAGATCGTAGCTTGCATACAAGTGGAAAAATGTAAAAAAAAAAAAAAAAAAAAAAGCTAAAAACAGTTTTTAATCGGCCTTGTGTTGGATTGTCATTATTAAACAAACTGCTGTGACCTACTTCTCAAAACAGGGTTGGATGAAATCCATGGAGAGGGTGTCAGACAAAACCAAAAACCAGAGGAAGTGCTGAACAGAAAGGAAAAGCAAGAAGACCAGCAAGAGGAGGGACCTTCAGAGGAATCAAAACTGAAAGCATTGTGAGGACAGTGAAGGACAATGAGAAGCACATGGAGAGTTCCCCTGACCTGAAGCCACATGGGGAGGACACACCTGGGGAGGGATGACAGAGGAGCAGACAGGAAAACAAATAAAGATGGAGACAGTGGGACGTCAAATGGACAGAGAGAGGGTGTTCTTACGTAATCTGAGGTCTGGAGCTCGGCCAGGTGCCGTCAGCATTCCTCATCTCCATGATCACCGTCTGACATATACACACACACACACACACACACACACACACAAGCATGTTCCAGCTTATCTCTAAGATAGACCGGTTGTTGGTGTTATGAGGAAGTTAGCGATTGTAGATAAACAATTACAGAAACATTCACGTGGAAAAACCAAGTCTAGTCTCACTCGGTTACTGAATGAACCTACAGGGAGTCAGTCCTCACCATCCCTGAGCTCAAGCAGGCGTCCAACACGCTCATGTGGACGTTCCTGAGACGCTCGCAGCTGCTGTCTGAACTCTTCATCCACAGTCGACACTCTGAGTCTGGAGGCACCGAGAAGGCATGACACATCGCCGTCTGGATCGACTCTGCGTACGCACACACGCGCACACACACACACACACACACGGATCTATGTAACGTCATGTTTGAGAGGTTCAGTCAGAGACTGGGACTTTCTCTCTGGGTAAACAGCTTTAATGTGGATAGAATCTTGGTTCTGTTGCTTCCTGATGTCAATAGAAAGTGTTGCAAAGTTTCAATGAGTGGATTCAGGCTAAAGAAGAACCGATGCACTCTAAAGCAAACCAAACTGTGTCTGGCCAATGGATTCTTGGCTACGCTAGCAGCAGGGTCCCGACTCAGTGTCTCAGCAACTACGGGCTAGACTGAGATGAAGCTCTGCTCACTGAGGGCTCCCAGAGGATGGATCCTGACTGTGGTGATCCTCTCACTTGGTCGAAGCTCTGGCTGACACTCTGGTCTCACAGCCTCACAGAGGCCCTGGTTTGGCTGCAGACTCGCATTCTTGTTATTTGCCAACAGATTTTGCAAAATAGCCCTTGACTGTCACTGACCAACATGGTGAGGTGCTCTTTACTGTGACAGAGTTTCAGTAGCGTTTAACACCCTTTAAACAGCACAGAATGAATTTTCATAGCATTTTATGGTCAAACAACCAGTAGGAACAACGAGGCCTACAGTTATTTATTAAGCACATAAATCCATTGACATTTATAGTTGACACTTCCCAACTGTCTGTAACAGTAATTCTTCTTAACTGCTCAGTTAACGTGAGCTGGAGGCAAATAAAGGCAGAAGACTGATGGCTTCTGTACATTATAGGCTTTTTCATGCATTCTCAGGCCTTTGAGGACGTGGATCCAATGTTTTTCTTAACTATCCAAGAGCTGCAGATACCATGGTGACAAGGAAGTGCAGCAAATCATGATACTGTACATGTGTAAATTATAACATCTTTTTCTTAACGCCGTTCAAGTTGATTTAAACTGTCCATGACCAGCTGGCGACTGGTCCCACAGCCGGCTGGCTGCAGTGGACAGTTAAACCTGTAGATATTGTACAATATACATCACTTCTTTACAGTGAATCAGCACTTCTCAACAATGACTGGACACTGAAGTGTTCTCATAACAAACAGGAATAATGACCACATGCCATCAACTCACGTATGCTGTCGGTGCGGCTGAACTGTGCGGGTTTGACGTTCTCCATGTTGCTGTGGAGACACATAGAGATCTCAACAGGGTAAACCTCCACCTTCAGAGTGCTGGGCAGGTCCACCACCTGATACACACACACACAGACACCTACTGTTAAAGTGTCCATAGGCCAGCTACTCATATGTCAGACTCCGCTGGCTCCGAGTGTATGTGGTGGGATTACCTTGCGTTCCAGCGGCGTATTGGGGGCTATTCCCTGCCGTTCCAGCGGCGGTTGTCCGTCCACCAGGCCGTACCAGTCCAGCAGCTTGTGCCAGGCCTCAGCCGGAACCAGCACGAAGTCCTCATTCTCCACCAGACAGTCCTTCAGGTGGTACAAGTCCACATCTGAGCACAGAAGACACTTTGCTGAATACTAATGCTGAAGAAGACAGAACAACCTGAAGCAGCACAAATCGGATTCTTTGCGAGTATCTTCAAACTTGTTCCGGGTCCTGCTGCAGGTTTTCTCAGGGTGGGAAAAGCTCTGAATAATGTAGCAGGACAACTGAAATAGTTAGCAGCTTCTCAGAGCACAGAAGGCAGCTACTACAAGTAAACCAGCATGTTTGTCTTATCCAGATGATCTTTACAGCAAAAATGGACTGATCATCGATGTGACTTTTAAGTTATTCACACAGGATAAAGGAGGAGTTCACACTGTCTGCAGTACCCGACATCATTAAAAAATATATTCATCACAATCATTTTCTCATGCCTTTCATACAAGTTTTCATAATTGTAGAAATATTTTTAAAAAGTGCTGTTTTCAGGTGCTGTTGTAGTTGGGGGTCAAAGGTCATAGCAGGTGACAAACCACAGAGTTCTGATGGTGGTGAAGAGGAGGACAGATCAGAGCTGCGGAGCATTATGTCTGAGCAGAGCGACATGCGGTTTGTGAGTTTGGTTTCTCTGGGGATGGCGTCCTGAGGAATGAAGCGTTAACTGACCCTCAAACAGCTCGCTGTTGTTGATCTGGCCGGGAAAAGAGGATGAGTTCTGGTCTCCAGTCGCCACAAACTCCTTCCATTGTTCAAACCAGTGATGCTCCACCACATACCTGCAACACACACACACACATTAATACAATCATACTCTTCCATAACTACCACTGCTTACTTTGAGCTTTACTGATGAAAGGTCTTTTTAATACATCAGTTATCACTAGAAAAGAACTACATGAGTGGAAACCCAACCATCAGGGTCACTGATCAATCAGCTCATCATCGTCTTGATGATCTGATTGATCTGTTTATCCCCAGAATGTCAGGCACTGGAAAAAAGTCCCACTGTGACTCTCCAGAGCCAAAGGTGGTGTCTCCACGTCTTGTTGTGTCCAACCAGCAGATCCACAGAGACTCAGCTGATTCTCCATCCATCTTCCTCCGCTTATCCGGAACCGGGTCGTGGGGGCAGCAGTCTAAGCAGAGATGCCCAGACTTCCTCCAGCTCCTCCAGGGGGGGGGATACCAAGGCATTCCCAGGCCAGCCAAGAGACATAGTCCCTCCAGCATGTCCTGGGTCTTCCCTGGGGCCTCCTCCCGGTGGGACAGGTCTGGAACACCTCCCCAGGAGGCATCCGAAACAGATGCCCGAGCCACCTCAGCTGGCTCCTCTCAATGTGGAGGGGCAGCGGGCC